ATGCTTTGCGTATCATATGCCTCTCTCTACAGCCCGGTAGGTGGCGCAGTGTATTGTGAAACGCGAGAAATACTCAATGGAGTCTTCAATTTCCCAACGTTTGATTCCCATATGCTGTGAATGGGATCATAGCAGTACATCTTATTAGTGTAAACGTCATCGTGTGCATCGTCGCGATCGATACGCCCACCCATGATGTATATCTTGCAGTTACATACAGTAGCGCTGCAGTCCTTGTAATAGCGGGCTTCGGGAAATCCTGCAATCGGGGGCTGCCATTCCTTCTGCTTTGGATCATACACGTACAACTTACTGGCATTCTGGAATATATAAATGAGTGTATCGAAGACAACAGCATTTGTATCTTCTCGTGGCACACTCGGCGGGATATCATCGAAGCAGGTCCAAACTTTCTTGTTTGGATTATAACACTGGATCAGTGATATTGAATCATATGTGTCACCATGTGTAGAGCGCACACTTCCACCGAATACGTATATCTTCCCCTGAAATGAAACAACACTTGAGAAGACGCCGTCTTTCAGCAACAGCGGGACTTGAACTTCCCGGCGGGTGACTAGATCACAACACGTGAATCCACCGTAGATTGCCACATAGTGAGAGTTCTCCCGATCTTCTCCACCAATAAAATACAGTTTATTATCCAAAACTATCATCTTGGAGCTCTGACATTCACGTAAATGCAGATATATTTTGTCATCGAATAACTCCCACTCCCTCGTTTCAAGGTTTAACATGCTTGGGTACCTGAACACGTGGGTGATGATGTACTTGTCGTAAGTTGCTGCGTATTCAACCTCCCAATTCTTATCTTTAATCACGGGAGTCTGCGTTATACGGTGCCATGTCTTCTTAACAGCGTCAAAATATTCCACATTACGACAATACCTCCAGCCTCGCCGAAACCCCCCTACAGAACAGACAACACTAACAAGACGCTTTGGACTACCTTTGTTTTTCCTGTCCTTCAATCGAGGCCTATTTTCTATAGTTTTTTTGGTTACTCCTTTCATGTCTGATAACTGACAATTGATGTCATAATACAAATTTGGTGATAACTCTCCAAGTTTTAGATACTCCAATACATCCACAAAATCTTCTTCCCGATTATTGCGATCATCACCTTTACAGTGCTCGTACCACCTAATCACAGCGGCACCGACTAAATCTTCATCCTCGACGCAGAGCAAGTCATTCGAAACAAGTTTAATCAAAACCTCCTTAGTCAACTCAAGGAATTCCCCTTGAGTGGAGACTAACTTAAAATAGTTTATCACGTATTCCAGCGCCTTTTCACTGGCAGCAGCGAGGCTGAAGGATTCCGCCATCTGCCATACACCTAAACAGTTGCTTGCATCCATATTCTCTAACATGAACTTAATGCATCCATCTCGGAGTGTTAAAACTTGAAACATGTTTGCAGCTTCAAGGAGAGCCTGTAGATTAGAGCCAGTAATAACTGCCTTTCCAGTGTATATGTAATCCAACATCAGCTCTACTGCATGACTCTGTACGTCTCGGAGGTGAATTTTTTCTTCTTTACTCTCACGCATACCACTAGAAAACATCCCTTTAAAGTATTCACTGCTACTTGCCAATACCAATTTATGGCAGGGGAAGATGGTCCCATCAACGCATAGAGTAACATCGGTGAACTTGGATTCAACTCTCGCTTCATTCATTTCAGACATCAAAGATGTTAGGTGATTGGGATTATCGAATTCTAATGAAATCTCCAAATCCATTTTACAGATAAACACTTATTTCACTGACATATCATAGAGTCAATCCCATAAACCATGCCTAAATAGAAATCAAGAAACAAACATTAGTGAGTTTAATTGTTCCTATGTGTAAGTAGCGACATATTTATTGATAATTATTATTATATAATATTATACATCCGTCACCGTAAGGTCGTAATTTTTCAGTATTTTACAGGGTATTTTCATCCTACCATATAAGGAAATACAAATTCCCAATATGGAATATGCACGTAAATATGGAGTAAGCGTTCTCTAATAATAAAAACAAACATGGCTGCCACCAGGGTTTGACCGGACTCCACACAAAGAATTTCACTTATTGTGTTCTAAACTTTTTGGATTTCGGCATTCCCATGATGTATCCTTGGAAGTAAAAGATGTATAATAATAAGGTTATTATGAGTATACCTCAAGATGCATATATGTATGTGCATCAGTCGATAATTCTGCTGTACTGTCTTCATGTATACTTTGAGGTATCCTTGTAATAACCTCATATTAATAATGATTTATTATAGTCAGAATGGTTCTACTACACAACAATTGTAATTGTTTTCCACACATGGTGGAGTTATGCAAATGTCTATTTGATGTCATTTCACTATCTGATATTATGTAAAGCTGATTGCGTGTAACTCTTCCATGTATCTAACTTCATATTTAAGTGTGAACGCTTCTCTTATCTGTTTCCTTGAGAAATTGTGCTTACCGATTATGACAGGCATTCCGCATCTGATACGGTGAGCCAAAGTTTGCCGACTTGCAAAATTGTACTCACTGTTTACCTACCCTATTCAGTCTTGAAGTTGTACACAGAGAAAGCATGGCCTTAACTTGTTCTGCAACTCTTAGTTTTGTTTAGTTTAGTTTTTTTTTTATCGTCGTTAAGATTATTAAAAATTACACTTTACCGACGATAACAAACGGAAGCATTGCAGCGAAACCGAGCAGATGTAAAACTGGGAAAGCTAATCTGCGAGTCCAGTGACCCCCGAACCCAGGCAAATATTATTACTTTAATTCAATCGGTGAATACTAGAAACTGCCTACCTACCGCTTCCCTTCCTCGTCTCTATGCAATAGAAGCGTATGAACATCACACGTCAGTACTATTTGACGAAAAGACGTTAAATTAACAAGAAAGCAAACACAGGAACGTGACCTTGCTGTCCTTGTACACAAACAAACAAACAAACAGTAAATACCATAAATGTCGTTGGTGGCGCTATATACGTTCCAGCGAACTGCGTTGTTTGGATTTCTGACAGCAAAAGTATATTCAGTGGTCATTACGTTTTGAAGATGTGTGTTATCTTCGAGGGAAGGAAGATTATTGTTTATGTACATATATTGTATTTTTTTTAAATACATTACAAATAGCAGAAAATAATAAAAACATATTACCATGGCATTATAATAATTGTGACAGTGAAATAGCTATTTCATATAAAAATAGTAACCCCTACATGGAAACTCATCAAAGTTTGATTCGATATGATCTTCATTTAAATTCTACACCCTCGTATGTGTTCTATCCTCGGGGGGCGGACATCCGGGCATTTTCTACCGCCTGGCAACCCTCGCGGTGAAAACAAAGACCAAAAACTCGCAGAAAACGGTACTTTGCAATGGTTGTTGAGAGTTCCCTGAACAGTGTAACAAGATTAGCCCTACGTGTGTGTCATATATGAATTTGGTTGTTAGGGATTACTTCAAAGTTGAGTTTGTGTTGTTTTCTCGAGTTTTCACCGGCTCCACCGGCGTTCCACAGCAGCGCGCACAAAGCCCATAGAAATACGTGGTACAGTGGTGCGCGTCTTAGAAACGTAGAACGTCCGTGACGTAGCTCCGCCCCCGAGGATACCTATTTCTTGGAGGAAGCGCATAGCAGAAACCGTAGACCCTCTATGCAGAAACACAGTATTAAACCGATAACATACAAACAACTGTGGAAATATAAACAATTATCTAAAGAAAAGGAAGAAAAAAACACTTAAAGCGAAACAGTCGTCACACGGACCCAGTTCGAATTTCATGTAAACAAACATTGTATTTTACACGCGTATACGTCTGGGGCCATATCGAACAGGACGCGGCGACTGTAGCACTTTAAAGCGAGGGAGTCGTCACCTGTGCATGCGTCAGATGGCCCACCTTCCATGGATGGCCATAGCGTGTCATTGTTTACAAACAAGCGTCTACCCATGAGCCTTTGGGCTTTTAGCATGTGTTGTTATCGTCGCCTGGGACCAATTCCCGCGCGTGCACAGGTGGCGACCCATTCTCCTTCCCAGAGTTCCTTGCGATTAGATCACCGAAAGTATATATTCGTGATAAAACTCTGCCTGGGGAGATTGGTGGCGACCCTCCCGCTTTGACTACACTGGCGGGAAGCGCACTCCCATTCAAGTTGAAGTAGCCTCCGGTGGGCTGGGTTTGGCAATAGATTTGTCATTTTTTTTTATTGCAGGCTGAAGGAGGGAGCACGCGACCTGGCCTATTCACACTACCGCTTTGTTACTACTGTATTTCTGTGTGGGAACGCTACTCCGATTACGACATTGATCAATTGGAAAACCTTCAGAGACGCGTCATGTGATTCACTCTGAACAATAACTACGCCACTATTTTTAAATTAATTTTTAATTTTACTAGCTTTGTTGTGATTTTGTTATTTATTTTACCAAAAAATGTATTGTTATAATTGTAAATCGCTCGACACCGATGAAAATAGGCAAATGACCTATCAGACATATCGAGTGAAAATAAAGTACATTCTTATTAATAAAAAAATATAATTCTTAATGTGTATTATTATTATTTATTATTAATAATATACATTAACATTTTTACATGTCTCGATACGTGCTACTTTTTGTACATAATTTACTTGTATCACAACTCGATCTCGTCATCTAGTACCTGCCAACAATATTATGTAAGCATCTATAAACGAATATAACATCATATGAAGTGTGTTTATGTTTAATCGTTTGTCATGTGAAAAATCTCTCAAAATCAGTATTTGTTTTATTGACGGGTGGCCATGATTTATTTTGCGGACGATCAAAATAATATCGGCGCTTTGAACGGCCTTTCTTTCACTCGTTTACGTCACGGAAACGCCTCGTCGCTAGAGGGCGTGAAAGGAAGAGTGAGTTCAATGTCGACGGTATATAATAAATCAGATTGTTCAAATTTGCATTTTTTCTTGATTTGTTTGTTTGTTTGTGTTTATTTATGATATAGAAGTACATGTGCTACTTCGACGGTGCTGGCACTGCAGGTGAAGCCCCGAGGTCTGCCTACACCTCATGTCTGTACATGTTATTTATCCTATGGACGATTCCATCATTACGTGTGTAATGTTGATAGGGGTTGTAGAGGAGGTTTGTCGGAGTGTCACTCTTTTGGTAAATAAGTTGCCGACTGTAACGGGTTCGATGTTGCGTATTCTGATGTGTTTTTAACTTATATTCATATATAAGTCACTTTAATATCACGAATTTGTAACAGTACATGGGAACTCTTTTTAAGCTACTATAGCCTATTATAAAATAGAACAGTTCCAAGACGTAAAACAACAACAGAACATATCTTCGGAAAGTTTTTAAAACACTCAGCCACCACAAAACAGTGCTCATTCGTCATATTTCACTTGCTGTCGCTGAAGAAATGAACAATTGACATAACTGAAGTCCAAATTTCTACCCGAAGTTGAACACACACGTTGCTGGTTCTGTGTGTTCCTAGTTCGTTCTAGGCATCCAAGGCATTTTCGTTGGTTGAATAGACGGATTACTTCTATCGATACCAGGTAGGACAAACAGACAAAATTATAGAGAGAAATCAACAATGTAATAATATTAACACATTGTTTGTTGAAGCCCAGTCATAAAGAAACGACTGAGAAAAATAATGCCGCTTCTGTTTTCGCTTCACTGCGAGATACTCGCTCTGGTACAACTTGGGTAAAATACCAAAAATAAATAGGAATATTCTGTTTTGTGTCATTAAAAATTCGTATATTTCATGACTCTAAAATTCCTAGAAATGTCGATACCACTAAAGGCTTTAATGTATTCCACTCAACTATTCGATCTTTTAAACATTCTTAACAACAACAACAGTCTCAATATCAAAAGATAAGATTCTAAACTTCGGCAATCGTTGACCTGTTAGTGTGTCATGATAATTTGACCTTTGTTTATCTATTTTTTAGATTCATCATATAACCATTGTAAGGTGCGAAACGTTCAAGATGAAGTTGTCAAGTATTGTAAGTGTGACTATGGTGTCTGTGATGTCATGTGTTGGTGTATTCGGGGAATTATCATTAAATGACGATTCTGGTGATCATATATGTTACGTAACAACCAGGTGAGTGTGTGTTTAGTATGTTACACAAATATGTTTATGTTTCCAAACTTAAGGGATTTACTGTCCTTCTGTCTTTGATGACATTTACCTAAAATTAGTGACAGTTCCCAGTGCAGCAGTAAACTTAAGTAAATTTCAGACTTTCCAATCAGATGTACAAATGACAACATAAAACCTACATATTATTTGGGGACTGTACCTATGAGTACCTATTGTAAAAAACATAACACACCTGCATAGTTTTGTGTCTTTACAATGTATGTGACGTAACAACATCTTCATAAGATCACGTGGTATTTTGTCCAAAGGCGTCATCATTATCCGCCATTTTGTCGTCATTGCGTTGTTGGTTGTTATAAACATACCAAGAAATGTGCTAATACGCATGCGCAGTGACTGTTATCATACGTACCAAAATGATAAGGGCACATGTGAATTAAAAGGTTCCATTGTTTCGTCTAACGAACTCTCAGTTGCGCGCTACAAGAACACAACTTTTAGAACATGATAAATCAATATCAAACGTATTCATTAAACATGGGATCATCAAACAACAGTGCTAAAAGTCACATGTTTTCTGCCATGTTGCTTACGTATAA